GACAGAAGTCACTGTGTCCGTGGAGGACATGGTGGAGGTGAAGAGCGCTGAGGAAGAGGATGCAGATCCTGACAACCAAAGCAAGACTCAGATGATCCTGCAGCTGCAGCCCATCACAGCTGGGTGACCACAACACAAACATCATCATAATAATAATGCATCAAATCTCTCATATTAAACACAAACTATTCTGGGAATAAGCGGGTGCAGCTTGGTGTTATAGATGATGTTTCATGTTTGATAGGCTTGGAGATGAAAGCAGTGAGACGGATGCTGCAGTTGTGGCTGTGGAGACACAAGGTAACCATGTCCTAAAACTTAATAGTGGTGATTTTTCTCTGTAGCATGACAGCAGGTTTTGCACAGCACATGTGTTCTTTATAAAATGCAGCCTTGTAGTTTAAACCGTCTTTAATTCACATTATTAGCAGTAATCATTCTGTAGACGTGTGTGTGTTTGTTCAGATGAGGCGTCTGCTGAAGGAGAGGGTTTGGAGCTTGGTTATCCCATTACATGCGGCGAGAGTAAAGCCATCCTTCTAGTCAAGAAGTTTGTCTGCCCGGGAATCAACGTCAAATGTGTAAAGGTTGGTGTCGTGTAGAGCACATCGCTGCAGATAACCGCTGGTAATGTGTTTAATCGGGCTTTCTCTGTTTCTCCGCAGTATGAGGATCAGTTGATTAGTCCGAAGCAGTTTGTGCACTTGTCGGGGAAAGCCACCTTGAAGGACTGGAAGCGAGCGATCCGGATGGGTGGCGTTATGCTCAGGTCTGCTTGCGCATATTGTTTTATTTTTTTTAATTGACTTTCAAAGGCACTCAAAATGTAGTTTTTCATGATAATTTTTATGAAAATTACACCGGCGCATGTGAAATGAGTAATTTTGTTGCACTAAGCTGTTAGGTTAGTCTTTGCGTCTAAAAACGTGATGTTCATTTGACACCATGCCAATTTGCTACTGTAAATAAATGCTTGCAACACTTGCCCCGCCTCCGGGGGCTTCTGATTGGTCCAGTTTTGGAACAGACATTGATGAGCAGTGTTGGGGGTAAAGCATTACAAGTAATGCGAGTTACGTAATCAGATTTTTTTTAAGTAACTAGCAAAGTAACACGTTACTTTTTAATTTAGAAGGAAACATCTGAGTTACATTTTCAAATAAGTAACTCCAGTTACTTTTTTCCCCATGTATTGACTGACAGCTCTGGTGTTGCCATGGTGAGAGAAATCGGGAGTGAGTGCAGAGAGACGTCGTGTGCGAACATGATGTTACTGTAGTTCTAGACTAAATATGAACATGTATTTATTCATCTCACTTGCACAAAAACAGATACAGTGTTCCTCAAAATGAAGTAAAACAGTCAAATGCAAACTCAAAATATTATAAAAACCTGCAATACTTAAATGTTAAATACGACAAATGTCATTTATGTATTTAATCCCATTTTATTAACCAATGTCTTTGCTACTGACCTTTGTTGATTCAGTTCAACCATACTTAGCCAAAATTACACATTTGTGTTTCATTTTTGTTATTGCTGAAGAGTGTTGAACTTTCTTCTCCTGCGTCATATTCTTCATGCGATTCGTTTGAGCTGCGCCCTCTACTGTACAGATAAGAGTTTACATTTCCTTCAGCCTGAGGTGTATTCATTTCACTTTTGGTGTGAAAGGGCTTTTACAGTTGTAAAAGAAAAACAAACAAGCAAGCCCTGCCCAGATTTAAAAAGTAATGCAAAAGTAACGTAACACATTACTTTCCATAAAAAGTAACTAAGTAGTAATTTGTTACTTTTTTAGGGAGTAACGCAGTATACATGCATTACATATATGCATTACTTTTAAAAGTAACTTTCCCCAAGCACTGTTTAATTTCGCCCTTGAACACTCGCAGAGCAATGGTTAACGTGACGCATCTTAAAATTGTGATTGTTCTGATGGATCTGCAGAGCAGTAGGTGCTACACACAGACAAAAACAGCACAAGAGTTTACAGATTTTACTACATTTTACTCTTATTATTTTTCTGTACTCTCAGACAAAAAGGTACAAAAGCTGTCACTAAGGGTATTACCTTTTCGAATACACGTTTGCACCTTATTTACTCCTTATTTAACTTAAAGGTGCTTATTAGTACCTAAAGGGTGCATAATAGTACCTTAATGGTACATATTAGTACCTTTTAAAATGGTACAATCACGGTGACAGCTTTTGTACCTTTTTTTCTGAGAGTGTATGGACTAAGTTTATAAACACTGTCTGATGTCAGTCCAAATTGTTTTGGACTTTTGGGAGAAAATTTTGGGTTCTGAAATTTGCAGTTTTCATATACAGTTGAGTGGCCAAAATTATTAGAACTAGTATTTTCAGCAGCTAAAAAATGGTTTTAAGTCAGTTATTTCTATCTTTTGCTGTAGTGTGCCAGTAGGAAATATCAGTTTACATTTCCAAACATTCATTTTGCCATTAATTGTAATAATCCAGTGAGATTTTTGTCTGACAACAGCCAGTGCTCCACACAGAGATCTGATCTGATCATCATCAGTCTGTCTGGAATGACATGAAGAAACAGAATAAACTGAGACAGACTCAATCCAGAAGAACTGTGGCAACGTCTCCAAGATGCTTCAAGAAAGCAGCTTTTGCTCTATAGGTGCACTTGCACATAGTTTTTTAGGTAGCTTTGTTGGTAGGTTTCTTGTACAAATGAAAATCTCACTGGATTATTACAATTAATGGCAAAATGAATGTTTGGAAATGTAAACTGATATTTCCTACTGACACACTACAGCAAAACATAGAAATAACCGACTTAAAACCATTTTGTTTAGCTGGTGAAAATACTAGTGTTCTAATAAATTTGGCCACCACTGTATATAAAGCTCATTTGTTACACAAGATCAAGGAAAGGTACCCACTTTGACCCCTTTTGGATATTCATTGAAAATATATATTCTTCAGTGAGTGGTGGTCATAACCTCTGACAGCTCTGTGTGTGTCATGAAGGAAGATGATGGACTCGGGTCAGCTGGATTTCTATCAGCACAGCACTCTCTGCACAAACACCTGCCGCAGCACCAAGTTTGACCTGCTGATCAACAACACACGCTTCCCACCGGACGGCAGTGGGCTCAGCACACCCACCACAGCTCAGGGTCAGAACACGCACACACATACACACACACACACACACTGAAACTGCTCTTTTAAGAGTTTCTAATGAGCTTCTTTTAACTGTGGACTCTGGTTACTCTGCTGTTTTAGTCCTTTTGGATTTGACTGTGGTCTTTGATACGGTCAACCACTCAATTATTTTATCTAGACTTGAACAGTGTGTCGGTATTAAGGGCATAGCCTTTACATGGTTTCAGTCGTTTTTGACAGACAGAAGTTTTTCTGTTCACCTTGGTGAATTTTCTTCATCTGCTGCCCCCCTTTTTTGTGGCATCCCCCAAGGGTCTATATTGGGCCCTATGTTGTTTTCTTTGTATATGCTGCCCTTGGGGTATATTTTTAGAACGGACAATATCTCCTTCCACTGTTATGCGGATAATGTACAAATTTATTTGCCTGTCAAAACAAATGACAAAGCTTCATTTCTGTCATTACTTAATTGCCTGAGAGATTTAAAAATATGGCTGGATCAGAGCTTTCAGAATCAGAAGAGCTTTATTACCAAGTATGTTTACACACACAAGGAATTTGACTTGACGACAGGAGCTTCCAGTGTAGAAGAAAGTACAAACATAGTGCAGACATACATGATAGTGTAGACATGCATAGGAATAACACAGTAGGGATGTAATATAAAACTAATATAATAAAAACAAATAAAAATATTGAATAATGTACTATATACAGAAATAGAAGTATAGGAAAAAATTTAATTGTTTAGATAAATGTACAGATATGTTTATTAGTGTGCAGATAGATATGTTATTTACAAAGTGTGCAGTCACTCACTCACACTCACACACTCACTCACACACACACTCACTCAATCACTCACTCTCACTCACACACTCACACACACACACACACACACTCACTCAATCACTCACTC